ATAGCACAAAAAGTAAAGAAATGTGTGTTTGGTTGATTATTTCTTTCTAGTAATAATGCTTCTCTTGGCAAAAATAAAAAATAAAAAACAAAACAAGTGTCATAAAGCAACAGCAAAATAACCTGTTTGTCAACGACAGAGAAGATATGGCAAATTTTTCATTCAGTCCACACACTCAGCTCTACTGCTYGTCCCACAAATGCATGTTCCTTACAAATGTGGYACAATTTAAAAGGGAAATTAACAGGYTTTACAACGGTATAAGATTTATTGGCAAGAAGCATTGTTACAACAGAGATGCAATCAACCAAACACAGCCTTACTYTTTGTGCTAAGTTCTTYATGTGTATATATAAATACCTATTGTACAACACAGCCATATCTATGGAAATTGATTCTCCATTCACACACAAGATCTGAACCAGAAYCCACACGCAACAGAAAAAAAACTCAAATATAGTCTTTTTACTCTGTACTTATTAATGTTTCATGTTACCAAAATCTCATATCTTTGGGTTAGAAACCTCTTTAGACAATTCATGTGAGCTCAGTAGTTCCGTGTTTTGATGTTCATGACGTTAAAAGGAAATCTGGTCATTATTGGTGAGAGTCAACAACTGAACCATTTTTTGTCTTTTTTTTTTTTCCAGAGGAGCTGCTGTCTTCCTGAGAGTTTCAATCTGTGAGGAAATTAAACTGTTATGTCTGCACTGCACTGGTGTAAACTCAGACTTTACAGACTAAATACTGGAACAGTTGATAATTTGTTGGTTACATCTTGGCTTGAGTGATGCTCAGGTTTTTGACAAATAAACATTAATGATGGACCACCTGAGTTTGTTTCTGTTTCGTTTCAGGGCCTKTTCTGCACTGGAATGTCAGCAAAACCCAAATAATTGTTCATTAGCAACTCTCAGAGTGCAAATTTCAGAATATTCAGAAAAAAAATGAAGTGGAAGTTACATAAAGGTCATCAAAGTTGCAAACTCAATACATTACATTTATCTTTTGACTCTGGAAAGACATAAATAAAAATGTGACATGGCAGGTTGAGAACAATAATAAAGATTTCTTTATAAAAATACATCCTTCTTCTCTAACTTTCAGCAGCTCTGAGTTCACTTCTGTCTGACTGGAGTCTCAAAGAGCCGCCAAAAAAAATCTTTTTGAGGACATCTTAAATGGAAAATCCTGACAAAAGATATAAGAATTAATCCCTGCGTAGCTCAAACGCACACATTGTTCCTGCGCTTTGGTGGAATATACTATTAGCACAGCTTTTTTTTTTTTTTTCCAGCACTGCTCTTCCTCAGGAGGACAGCCAATCCAGTGGGCAAGTGAGGAATCGATGCCCTGATACAAGATTCAGCCTAATGAGGATCAGAAACATCTTAATAAAGACCCATAATCCTCCACTTAATCCCTCATTACAGAATCATCTGCATTCTCTGGTCCTGCTCCAAACCGCCGCAGTGACTGCACTGTTTCCATCTCCATTGTTCTGCCTTGCCTCATCTTCTTCACCCCCCCAGTGTCAGTTATATTTGATCTACTCTCATTAGACTTAGAACAGAAGAGCCTGAAAATAGTGCTTTTGTGTGCACTTCTATGTTATCTCCTGTCTGAAATGGAGAACSAGACATATGTTTAATGAGGAGGGGACGGACTGGGACAGGCAGATATGCAGAGYATTGTGGGGAAGGTGCTGTGACCGATACTGTTAAAGGACACGCTTCCTCTGCAGCGTCTGCGTCAGTAATTATGACTTCTGAGAAAAGGGAAATGAATCCGAAGTGGGACAGATGGATTAATGTGGAGAGATTCAGACTTTAATTCTGGGCAGCATTGAGGCTAGAAACAAAGTTGGGGAAGTTTTAGTCAAGTTTGTGGCTGTCAGAATCTTTTGAAAGTAATTTATATTTTTAACAAAAAGACGTTTCGTTTTTAAGTTCGACTTAACRCAAAACATCCCATTCCTCATCTCGTAGCACAACTAACAAACAATAACTGAGCTCTACGTGGTATTTTCTGCATAGAAACAGTGTTTTAACACATCCTCTTATAAACACTGAAAAGTGCTAATAAATGCAAATKTCAAACAAATAATACAGAAATACTATTAAAAGTAAAAGTAAGACAGTTTTACTCACTGTTGAGTTGTGATAAGTAGATGCTGTCTTGGATTCTGAACTCTCCCACTTGCCGACAAAGAGTTCCCTATAGTTTAAATTTACAACTTGCAAGTGGGAAATTTCCACTTCCCAGTAAAACTGGACTGCAGCAAAAGTAGCCGGCGAAAATGCAGCTTAATGTAGATTTTACGCAGTGAGTTTTGCTGACTTCTGGTTACTTTTTAACCCTCTACACCGCCACCTAGTGGTAGGATCATTTTACGAGTTAAACAATAGACATGCACAGAATTTATGGCCGGCCAGTTCTGGTTTTGAAGCAACTCATTTTGAGACAATAATAAACTGACAAGAAACAGATACAATGGATTTAATTACACACACACACACACACACACACACACACACACACACACACACACA